CCCCCCCCCCCCCCCCCCACACAATATTGGTTTACATGAAATATAAATGCATAGTTGATTTTTATTACCGTTGTTAAGTTATTGTTATTATTTTTTGCAGTACTCCCAACCCCCAAAGATTTTTTGCAGTGCCCCCCCCCCCAAAGATTTTCAGTTTCCGCCGCCCATGCGCTAGTACTGATTAATCTTGCTAAAACGTTCTCTCGTTTATATTACACCACGAAATGATTCTATAAGATGTGACCCTACTTATAAGCTTATAGATCAAAAGCAGGTCATTTTTATTTTGATTACTGAATTACATCGAACACCTAGTTTTGGAGGAACCATTTATTCTATAGTTATAAAGTTTCTAAAAATTCATATGAAATCTTGAACGGTTTGACCTGCAAGATGTTTTCATAGGCTAGTAATATTGACGTACCACATTTGGTTTAATGGTTTTCTATAGAAAAACTATTTTATTTCTACGTATTATAGGCCATAAATATTTTCCAAAGACATCCACTATTGTTGAGCGATGAAGTTATAAATGGCATGTTTTTGAAATAATTAGGGGCAAAAGGGTTTTACTATTTATTTTTTATCGACCACTTGCGAAAATTCTATATTGTCGATCGTGCAGCATTTAAGATGTAACAAGACCTTCACCAACCGTTTTTGAAAAAGCTGTATATTGCTTACTATCAATCACACGTGACGTTTTGGAGTTGACTGAGGGGCAACTAGTGGATGTTAAGTCAATACATGTCAAAATAAGTCCTCAAACTATTGTATTTGACTATTTCTACGACTTGAAACCAGAAAACAAGAGATCAAAACAACCTCCAAGATTCTACAAGCCATTAAAAACGCAGTTATTACCTGAAGTGAATACACACATACATACAGTATTACTTCATCAAATGATAAAAATTCCAATATGTTATAAAAGTTAAATATAAATACAAATATAAGTATAAATCTAAGATAAAGTATTAAACTATATATACAACTGCCTTCAAAAAGGCCCGTGACAAGAAACACACGTACATAAGTAAACTGACTATAGGTAAAAACAATAGCATCTGTGCTATATTCGCAATTAATGGTTGCCATGGTGAAGATATAAATAGTACATATATAATGCATACAATGGAATGACTTGATGGAAGAGCAACAACTCCACGGCGCTAAACTGAAATTTGTAAGCAAACTAAATCAAGATAAGCTCCGAAAATACGTCAAATGTGAGAAGGTCTAAAGAGAAGCCGAAAAAAAAAGATGAAAGAACGGAAAGGTATTAAATTAATCGCTTTTGCTTACATACGCTATCTAGGAATATTGTAATGTCGATTGAATCGAATTTTGGCCTCCATCTAAAATATAAATGATACTCGAGAGTAAAGGGAAGATTCATACTTCAGAGATTGTCTCTTTCTGATTGTTATTTATATATTTCTCGGTGGTCAAGCGAGGTTTAAGTTAAGCTTCGCTTTCTTCTTATCGCCAAACGGGCAAACTACGTCCATCATTTCAGTTGTTAGAATAGACTGTATGATGGGAATCTAATTTTTAGCTAAGACCGATAAACACAAAGAAGGCAAAAAAAGTCTTTATATGATGTATCCCTCGGCTAGATCATATGTAAGCGTATTTTCTAGCATGGGTTTTTTCACAGCAAGAGGTTTTTGGTTTTTGGTAAATAACAAGTTGAGAGTCACGTTGTGAAGCGTCATACTTTGCATAATGTTTTTGCGTCACGCAACGACCGGCTTATGTGAAGGCGGTGGTTCAAAGCCTCGTCGATCTCTAGTTATAAAATAATTAGTGCGGGTTAAATCTTGTAAGGTATAGTTAAACGATCTAGGTAACTCGGGAAGTTAGGAGTGTGGCTATGGAGGAAAATCTGAGTACTGAAAGTATTAGTCTTGTTGCAGTATCTCCACGCCAAGCCTACGAACTGAGGAACGTCGACCCCGGTATCCCGTCTCGACTCCAAAATGAAGAGAAAAAAGACAATACACCGAGATGTATTCTCATGGCAGCTTTACATCACCACAAAGATGAATTAAATCGTATTAGAAATTCTGAAGAAGGAGCCATTGATATGAAGGATGAGTGTGGATGTAGTGCTCTACATTATGCTGCCAGACACAACGATGCTCACGTTATTTCGACGTTGCTGGATGCAGGAGCCGATATTAATTTGAAAGGGCCAGCTGGACAAACTGCTTTACACATTTCAGCGAGGTAACGATACTTATATGATTACTTACACGATTAGATTATGCAGTTGAGGCGAATGATATGATCAAAATGGTGGAATCGATCGCTGATATCACACACTCGTGTTTACATGATCGAACCGTTCTACCCATTTATTTGCAAAAATCACAGGGTTCGGTTTGGGGCTTATAGGAGGGCAAATATTTGCGGACTTTTAATACTCTTCAAGTACGATTGAGTAAATTAAACTAAATCATTAATAACGCAATGATCAATCAGTTATCGATTTGAATAAAGGATGAATTTGAATAATTAGGCATGGTTTGATAATTAATACAGTCGTTTGCAACTAAGCGTGAACACCAGACACTAAAACATGTTCTAACTGGCGGCCGAAACGTTGAAGTTAGTCAACCGGAACGTTTATGTTTTGAAATGATTCGTTGGACGGTTGGGCGCGCAAATTTCATCAGGTACTTCATTCTCGAAAGAATCAAAGTCGTTTTCCCTCCAGTACTTCATGCTTTTGTTTAAAGTAAAGCCTTTTTTTTTTAAATGTGAAGAATACTGAAGGGGATCAGGATCGATCTCTTCTAGAAACTCGCTTATGTCTACTCTTTCGAAAGAATCCATGACCAACACCAACAGATCAACGTGCACGCATATTTGAACAAACGTTGCCATCATCAGGCTTGGCTTTGGCGCCAAACCACAGGTAGCCCAGGCTTACCGTTAGTGTTGAATAACTGAATCGATCGAGAGACAGACAGACAGACAAAGATTATATGGGTATCATATGGGTATTAATTAAAATAAAATAAAATTCCCACTGTGTGTGGTTGATATATTGAACAGCCCCATGGCTTAATTACAGCTCATTTCGTTCGGGTTTAGATGACGCGTCTAACTTCAACATTCCGGCTGCCAGTTAGAACATGCTTTAGTGTCTGGTGTTCACGCTTAGTTGCAAACGACTGTAAAAGACAAAATAAATTAACTTATGAGTCCGTTCATCAAAGTTTATTCTAGTTTAAACGTATGATCTGTTTATTAAAGGTAGAACAAGGGAGCAAGGCAGAATCCATTTTGCGTGTCAGCCATTTTGAATCTCGTTTCTTTCATTTGGCCCCCCAGGACTGCAATTTCAGAGGCAAGTACTTTTTTCACGTGCCTGCCTCGTGGTGGTGTTTGGTCGCGCGTGATATTTTTACCCTTCATGCTACCCGCAGCACTTTACTTGAAATAATATGCAACAGCTAGTCTATTTTCTATTATCATTCGATACTCCACTGACAAATAGAAATGTGTGCGCTAACTTCCGAGCGAGTCCCGAAGGGACGAGAAGTGCACGAGTGCCGCTCGAAAGTTATAAGTGGCCGCATAATATCATATCTTGTCGGCGGAAAATCTAATTTAATAAGCGCTCGCGCCAGTTCAACGAAGTTCAAAATGGCTGACACGCGATAAGATAAAATACCAGCCGACCAAAACGGATTCTGCCGTGCTCCCTTGGGGAGAAAGTCTCTAACCTAATCTTACGACACTAACTTGTTACCTGTAAACTTTACAGATTCAACTGCGTCGAATCTACCAAAGTACTACTCGACAACAACGCAGATACTACAATTCCATGTGATATCAACTCAGTCCCCCTCCACGCCGCCTCACGGTATGGTTACCAGGAAATAGTCAAACTTCTTCTGCAGAGTGACCCGTCTGTTGTGAACTGCAAGAGTACGGGATGTGTGACACCTCTGCTACTCGCCAGTTTGAATCGAGAAAAAACAGTTTGTGAATTGCTGACTGAGCACAAGGCGGATATTACTGTCGTTAATGTGGAAAATAAGACACCGTTGCATGTTGCAGCGGCGCATGGCAACATCGAGGTTGTAAAGTTTCTAATCGATAAAGGTATGTAATGTTGGACCAAAGAAAGTTGTTGCTTAGAACATATCTGCAGGAAAAACTGCAGATATGCAGGCTTTAAATTGAGTTTGACATACTTGCTTGCTTGCTTGCTTGCTTGCTTGCTTGCTTGCTTACTTGCTTGCTTGCTTGCTTGTGCAGTGCAG